GCCTGGCCACAGGGCTGCTTCTTCTGCTTTTGGCTGCACACAAAGAAAGCAGCAAAAGTCTTTCTTTTTCTCCTCCAAACTCCGCCAGAAATGAGTCTTTGGGATTCTGCAAGGCATCCTGCTCCAAAAAGCTGCACCAGCAAAGACTTGTTTCTGGTGGAGTTTGGGGGAGAGAAAAAAAAGACTTCTGCTTCTTCTGCTGCTTTCCTTGCATGATGCCAAAAGAGTCTCTCTCGCATTCCCTCTCACCAACGTCAGCAAGCCACCGCCAGTTAAAATTCATATTAGTGTTCTGCGGGATTTAAAATTATGAGTTTGGTGGTCCCTGAGGTCCAAAAGGTTGGCCACCCCTGCTCTAATTGGTTCTAAATGCCATCTTTTTGAACAGTTTTGAATAATGTGCAGGAGTTCAGCCTCCCACATTAAGTTGTTCATATTTACTAAAGGTGGAGCAAGTCTACAAAATGGTAAATAAAGTTCAGTACAATGAAAGGCAAGGAAATTGGTATTTTTTTCTAAAAGGAAAACATGCATACCGTTGTCAGCAGAGTCAACTCAAGCAAAAGATGATGCATTCTAAATAGGCTTTTGTTAAACTAATTGAGGTACTTAGTGATGCATTCAGACAACATTAAGCCATAATTTGGACTGTGCTTTGTTGAATACATTGTAATATTTGGGATTTACTTACCCCAAGCCATGAGTATGCTGACACTTCATACTAAGCAAAACTGAATTTCATTATGGTTTAGCATTAAATATTAACCATTATGAACAAAATATTATTTCTTCTAGATTCTTCTGTATTAAACAGGATTTCCTTTTCTTAACTTTTTCTCCTGCTTCTAATATTATTTCTATTGTATATACAATTCAGATGCTTTGAGTAGGTTAAATTTGAATTTCTGATAAGGTTGTTTTCACTAAATGTCTAAATTAAACTGAGTAAGGATTTCTAATTCTACCAAATTCCAAAGAGTCAGCTTCCAAAGAGAGAATACAGTTGGAAACAACTTATATTTTCTTTTCATATGTAGGTGGCGGTCTCGGTGGTACTCGACGGGGAGGTGCTGATGTAAATATAAGACATTCAGGTCGAGATGACACTTCTCGGTATGATGAACGGTAAGCCGGAATGTATTAGAAAAAATAGGGTGATATTTGTGTCACCATTCCTGATCTTAGGAGTGTTAACTGTTTCCTTGTGAAAGCAACTTAAGAAGTAACAGTCTGTTTGGTATAGTGGTTAAGGTACAAGGTTAGAAAGCAGGAAATTGCCTTCTAATCCCATCATAGGCATGAAAGCTGGCTGGGTGACTGCGCCAGCCACTCTCTCTCATTGAATCCATTTTAGGGTTGTTGTGGGGAAAACAGAAGGAAGGTATTAGGTATGTTCACTGCCTGGAGTTATTTATAAAAATAATAAAGGCAAGATAAAAAAAATGAGTAACTGATTGCTCTTTTTCAAAATTTTATGTAATTCCAGCTGCATGTTAAGAGGGTCCACAAAGCTGATAGTGAGAGGGAATCATCTGATATTTAAGATTTGAAGAGTCTTAATTGTAGCCTTTTATTTGATTAAAAAATACATAATGTAAGAGGTAGGATAGATTATTTTTTAAGGTTACAGTAACTTTGTGATTTCATTTGATCACAATGGAAGATTTATTTTTTCTTAATGAAGAAACCAGATTGTATTGCTGATATTCTGTGCTCAGCCTGATCGTTTTTTCATTCTGCTTGTCTGATGCTTATTTTACACCTTGGTTCTCTCAGGGATAGGGACCGTGAACGTGAACGTGATCGCCGAGACCGTAGCCGAGACCGTGACAAGGAGCGGGAACGCCGTCGCAGCAGATCCCGGGAACGCAGGAGGCGAACACGGAGCCGAGAGAAAGAGGAGCGGAAACGCAGCCGGGAACGGAGCAAGGATAAAGACCGTGAACGCAAGCGTCGAAGTCGTTCTAGAGATCGCAAGCGAGATCGGGACCGGGAGAGAGAAAAGAAGGAGGAAGTGCCAGAAGTGGGAGAGGCTCAGCCTGATGAGGCTGCTCTTGCCGAGATAGGGGTAGATGGGGTAGAGGCAAAGCCTGAAGGGGAAGAGAAAAGTAGAGAGAGGGATAGGGATAGGGAGAGAGAGAGGGACCGTCGGCGTGGTCATCGTGACAAAGATAGAGATAGGGATCGTGATAGAGAGCGTCGTCGTGATAGGGATCGAGATAGAGACCGTGATCGTGAGCATAAGCGTGAGAGGGCTGAGCGGGGAGGAGAGAAACGGGAGGAGAGGGGGCAGGACAATGGGATGGGAGGAGCATTGGAGGAAACCAGTCAGGATATGTTCCTGGACCAAGAATCCATACAATCCGCTGATGGCTACTTATCTACTGAAAATGGATACATAATGGAGCCCCCACTGGAGTGATGAATGGAGACTCTTCCTGGTCCAGCCAGGTGAGGCTCTGCTTCCCAGCCTGCTAGCCAATGAGGCCCTGTCAAGTAACTGATTTTAACTGGCTTTGTTTAGAAGGGTAAGTGTTTCAGGTCTGTTTGTCCCATTCCATTTCCTCTTAACATGTAACTTTCCACCAATCCCTTGTGTATTTGAATATTTTTGTTTTAAACAAGAATAAAGTGTTAAAATGTTTTCTTCTTCATGTGCAATGTATATGATACTGGGATAATAGCAGAGATACTTCGCTGATTCTTGATTACTAGTAAGTGGGAAATCTGTTAGAGGTATTTAGTTACACTACCGAAAACACTGATAATCGGCGATCCAGGGTTTTGCTTGTGATGCTTTGAGAAAGGAAAGAGGCTGGAACAGGAAGCAATAAGTTGAAAAGCATCAAAAGGTAATGAAAAAGATCAATTGTGTGCCATTACCAGCTGGGAGCAAAAAGACCAAGTGCTATAAATAGAGTTCAAGTTTGCTCTCTTTATCAGTGGAGAATGATAGTGTGGTTTTAGCAAACTTTAACAAGATACACTGAGATCAACCCGGTTTGCCTCCATTTGACTGATGTGGGAAATGGCACTAAAAGGAATATTTAGTTGGAATTACATTTATAAAGAGAAGAGAGAATAATTTCAAGGTAAGCAATACAATTGGAAGATTGCGCCTCACAACTTAAGTACATTTTTAGAGCTTATTTTATCTAATTCTGCATTTTAAAACCTATTTTACCTTGCTCAATCTATACACTTAGGAAAGGGATGCACAAGGAATTAAGATACTAAATATTTATTTTCAGTTATTGGGCATGGTTCACTTTGCTTTTGGCATGTAAGGTTTTGAGTAGTATCTCTGTATTTTCAACCACATGGTTGAAGTCCCAAAGCCTAGAAGCTTGTTTTTTAATCATGAAGTGAAAGATTCTACATGGAACAAAACTGCACTAAATACCGTATTGAATATAAAATGCCAACTTGAATCCTGGGGACTCTGTGATCAAGGACATTTAGTTTGGCTCCCATGAAATTCACAACTTTCCATGAACTTACATAGTTAAAAACTAAAATGTAAGTATTAGTTTGGTACAAAATTGTCTGGAAAATTGCCAAGATTGAATTACTACAATAGAAAACCACAAGCAAAATATTTTCTTTTCAGTAGAAGGGGAGAGTATAGAGTAATACTCAACTGAGATGATACTCCCTCTGCTTCCACTTGTATAACACCCAATACTGAAAGGGAGTCCATGCTTATTTCACAAAACAGTTTCTCTAATGTGATTTAAATGATGGGCAAGTTCTTGCAAGTAAATATAGCAAACGAACTGCAGCAATTGTATTTGGGCCTGAAAGGGAAAAAATTGAGAACAGAACAGTACGTTAAGAGAAATAAATGCAGAAACTGATGGTCATTGGTTTGCACCGGAACTTTTTTTCATACTAGGGTGAGTTTAAACAAATTTACTGGATTAAAGTTACTGACTTCTTGGAGAATTGATTCCAATTCTGTGACCTCCATCACTACACCATAGGAATAGTTTATCACCTTGATTTGTTTGCCCATGCATACTTTTGTATGATATGCAAAGGCATTTTTACATGATTAAACTAGTCTGCTACATGATAATAATGTACTATTAACTATAAAACTTCTTCAAACAGCTTGACTCCTGGTGAATTGGGAACAAGTGTTCATTTTTTTCTGGTATGACTACAAGAAGTGGTTTGCCATTGCTTTCTTAAATCTGCGTATATGCTTGTTTTAAACTTCCCAATATAGTCTCTTTCCATTTCTAAAATTGAGCTGGATCCTGCTTAGCTGTCAAAGCCAAATAAGCTCGGCAGATGCTGATCTTTACTGAGATAATTTTGCAAAACTATACTATTGCATAATTAAATCACAAGCAATGAGTATTTGCTTACAGGTCACAGCAGGCTCTTCTGAAACTCATTTAGTAGTAGTTGGAAATGAGTTTTCAATATAACTAAAGGCCTTCAGACGGCTGAATTAAAATAAAAATTTGTACAAGAGACTGCTTTATAGCAGAAAGTTGGAAATTCTTCCCGAGTACAGAAATGAGTTCAACCGGCTGGTACCCCTGCAAAATAAAAGGCTTGGCTGATTCGATGTCATGGAGAAGGCAGGCTGGGTGGGTGTACTTTGCTTACGTAAAGATTCAGCCAGCGGTTTCAAGCACGTTCGACGAGAATCCATCTTACATTTAAGGGAAAATTCGGCACCTGCTGCTTATGCGCTGTCGGCTCTAAGCCAAATTATGGAGGACGAATAGATTTAGCATCTATGAGCGTTGAACTTCCATCTACCGGCTTACGGGATTGTTAGCGCCTTTCCTTTTTCTTGGGCAACAGAAAAGGGTCCTACCCGATCTCAGTAGCGCCCGGGAAGCAGGGTCCTCAAAACACGTGCCCAGGCAGACACGCGCATCAGTAGCCCGGAGGCAGGGCTGCGTGCCGGCTTGCAAAATCCTACACGCACTTCCCACCCTTCCGCTTTGACGCGCGAGGCGGCGGTGGGGTTCTCGGACGTGAAGATGGCAGCGCTGGCGGAGCCTCTAGGGCTGGAGAGAGGTAAGGATGGAGATGGCTTTGCCTCAAAATGGATGTTCGCGTCGAATGAGCCTGGCGAACCGGAGAGAAGAGGTAGGGCAGCCTTTGGAGCGAAGGAGGGGATGTGCTGGCTAGAGAGAGGACGGAGTATCTGCAGACTTTTGGGGAGGGCTGGTGACATAAGAGTCGCCGGGGGTTCGGAGGCAGAGGAGCAGGGATGGGAAGGTGAGGACATGCGGTGCTTCCTGCTAGAATATGGTGGAGAGTGCTGCTGGATTTCTTTTCTGGCCAGGGACCCGGTCGAGAGGACCCGATCTCTTCGTCTCTCCCCTTTCCCTAGTTAGTGAGAAGCAGCGCCCAGGAACGGCGAAGCCAGAAGCCGTGGCTAGGTTACACTCTTCCTCCACTCGCCTCCACAGTTCCGTCCCAAATGCCCTCTAGGACTCCCGATTCTGTTTCTTTTAACATTACTATTATTATTATTATTATTATTATTATTATTATTATTATTATTATTATTATTATTATTATTATTATTATTATTATTATTA